TGCTGCATGCTTTGGATTAAATCTGTTCAACCTTGTTTGAAGGTTTATTGAAGGTCTGTTTTTTATGTACTATTTAGTTTCATATAGATATTTCTTCTTCACAATTTGCTCTTCTTTTTATTCGTTTTAATTTCAGCAAATCGGCGGTTATCATTTGGTTTCGACCGCGCAGAAGTTTTGGGGGCCACTGTTTCTATGATTATAATATGGATATTAACCACTGTTCTGATTATGTTAGCAGTACAACGAATTATCAATAATGATCTTGACGTAAGTTAGCTTTAGATATTTTCCTTCTGTCGTTGAACGAGTAATTCTTTTTATATTATGACACAGAAAAAAGTCTCAGAAGTTTAGGGGGATATGAAAGATTTGACAAGTTATTTTTGCTGCTGGAAGGAGGTTCTTATGAAATAAATCATAGGCGCATTAGTTAGTATTTTGCTCAAATGAATTTCCTAAACTTTGCTAAATCCAATTTACCATTGCCCAAAGAACGCTTTAATTCATGAAGTAGGATTTTTACTAATTCAGGTTGATGTAAATACAATGATGATTACTGCATCAGCAGGAGTTATATTCAACATTATAATGGGCTGTGTTTTACATCGTTCACGGCACTCTCACTCTCACAGATTGCAAGAGAGGTTAGCAGTTTTAATTCTGCTGTAATTTTGCTGAACTAGGAGATCTTTCCTCTGTTTCTTTTTTGAACTTAATTTTTCCTTTTGTGTTTTCTGTTGAAGTTTTTTTTACAGCCCATCAAATATAAATGTTCGTGCTGCACTTATTCATGTTATCGGGGACTTTGTTCAAAGTATTGGAGTTCTAGTGGCTGCCATTATTATCAAAGTTAATTGATTTATATTATGAGTTGTTTTTGTCTTGACTTTAAAAAGCAAAAGAAGTCAGTGAAAATGAGATTCTTTAAATGAAACTTTTATTTATTTGGATAGATGTATGAATTTCACAAATTTTCGGAGTTGCGGACCGTACTGTTTGTTTTTTTAGTTCACTGATTGGCGGCTAGCAGATCCAATTTGTACTTTTCTCTTCTCTATTATTGTCTTGATAACAAGTGTCACTGTAATGCGAGATATCTTCCTCGTGCTTATGGAGGGTTAGTTTTAACAGTTGGTTGAGCGATGTATTGTGGTTATAGTCATGAAATTTTAATTTGCGAAAAAATTTAATTAGAAAAGTTTTTTGTGTTATAGCAACACCGTCGCATGTGGATTACGGACAACTTCAAAACGACCTTTACAAATTGAAGGGTGTTCGAACTGTACACAGCCTTCATATTTGGTCTTTAAGCATGGATAAAACATCGCTTTCAGTACATTTAGCCATAGGTTTCTGTAGTACTTTACCGTCCCTTCTCAAGCTTTTTAATTAACCCTTACTCGTTTATTTTAGGGGAAGAAGCTGAAGCTCTGGAAACTGTGAAGGCTGCAGGCAAGTTGATTCGTTTTAAACATGGTATTCATATGGCTACGGTCCAGGTAGAGCCTTATGAAGCAATTATGGGATCTTGTGACTACTGTAGGCCTCTTTTTTAAAACTCTCCGTAAGGTAACTTTGCAACCTTACTCTCTGGATATGTGTGCCTAATTGCTGTTTCTGAATTTTGTTATTTGGAAGTGTTTTCGCACAGTCCTCGTAAATTGTTTTTCCTTTGAGTAGTAGGAGGAAGGAGAGTTGCTTATTTTTAGTAATTCTTCTTCATCAGTATACATTTACTTTCTGATTGATTTTCCAGATGTTTTAATCAGTTTTACTCCTAATTTCTTTACTTAAACGTCATTAATATTTTATTTCCTAATGTTTCCTAACCTATGATGTTTTTTACATTGTTTACGTTACATTAGTAGTCTATAGCTGTCTTTGATAAAATGCAAGATTTGGGAAAACTAGGTTACGGGAAAGAACAATTAAAAAGCTTTTTAGATTGGTGCTAACACCGAACTACAAAATGAACTCCAGGGAGTCACGCAACAGTGTCCCCCGTGGACTGATCTCACCCTTTTCTTGAAGGTTTAGTCGTATAAAACAGAATATTTAGTAGAAGTGGGAATTCCCTCCTGACTTGCAATTCATTTGGTTTTATAAACTGTTTGTGCGGCTGAATTATCGATTTCTTTTTTGAGAGTAACTTTGAGAAATTGTCATTAATCGGAGCAGTCATATGCTTAATCGAGAGTTTCGGGCAAAATAATTACACAAGTGAAAGCTATCGAGGG